AGGCAGCATCGTCAGTCACAGTTAAGCTATTTTCAATCAAATATCTCTCAAGGACACTTATATTATTTTTGCAAGATAAACACTTACAATGTGCAGGATATTAGTTGACCTACCAGTGCATATGAAATACAAATCTGCTCTCTTTTGCTTTTTAAAATCCATCCTATTCACAGCACGAGGCTTTCAGACCACATTTAAATCACTGGGCTCCACCTATAGCAGTGAGAGTATGGAGGGACCGAAGGACTTGTGCACAGATGGCCTTTATCCCACGGGGAGACTGCAAATTAGTATGTGGGTCATTGGCATTCATCAGGTGCCGTGTCTGTCTGGCAAATGATGACATCAATCTCGGTGCAAAAGGGATCATGCATTATTCTATACGTAATCAACTGCTAAATTTAAACAGTAAGGGGCAATAAATTTGTTTCAAGAAGGGTCGTTAATAGCCAAGGGCCTGAACCATCAAACCTTTACTTACATGAGCAGCCTTTGCTCTTACAGGCTATCTCATTAGGTGCTGCATTGGCAAAAAAAAAAGGACCGTGTAAGACAGGGCATGAGGAATTAGCATCTGAAGGAACAACTTCCCTAATTAACAGATTAAAACATACCCACATAAAAAAGTCTGTTTGGGAGATTTGCAGATACGTACGCTGCCTGCTTCTTACCAATGTGAATGCGGAGAGAACTAGGAGCTACCAAGGTTGTAATGAATACAAACATCATTGTGAAATATAAAAACTCTCCCCTACATATAATATCATCTATCACAAAGTGACCAATGCTTCTAGAGCAAGAAACCTAACCTCTCCGAATGTCATGCTGTATGTATACTATGGGGAAATTCTCTACAGGCAATGAGCAATTTATTTTTGAAAGAGGGCGCTCACATCCTTATTTAGCATCCACATTATGCTAAATAAAAGGTTTTTCATTATTGCAGTAAGTACTGGAGATGCATTCTTTTCTTGCATGTTTATGTTCAAATCCAATCATGTCAGTGAATCAGAACAATGGAATAATACGCAGCTACTGGTCCACAAGAAGACAGATTTTTCTCCTGATTTCCGAGACTCACTGATATTTGAATCCATAAACTTTGGCTGGCTGGCAGCTAGCATGAGCCAGAATGCCAACTACAGTACTGTTATTTCCCTTCTTCTCTACAGTGCTCCTCTTCTGACTGTCTCTCTCATTAAAAATTCTTGCCAGGGCAAGAACTACCTCTGCTCTTTGATTCTTTTAGGTAAAGCAGAGATATTCCAAAGCTGTAAATGAACACAGACACAGAGGCTGAGACAGCAGGGAGAGAGTTAAACATTTGTGGAGATTTTGATGCTTTCTGCCCTTCTCCAGTCCCCAGGCCCATCTTTCACTCCCTGCAGCTTAGCAAAATTCTACTAGTTAGAATAGTTATCATACAAATACACAAGACACTCATGTTTTCACTGTTTGCTAATCCCGATAGCCAGGAATAATGAGAATACCATTCTGAAAGTAAATAAAATATCTTTGACCCATCCTGGCGATTCCAGCCCAAGCAGTCTGGGCAGAAGGGGATTAGCAAGGACTGGGGAGAGTGAGAGAGGAGGAGACACTGAGGGACACGGGGGGGGGCAAACAGTCAGGTGGGGACAGGCATCAGGTGAAAGGAATGCACAAATGATTTTAAATGTGTTTAAAGCAACTTAACTTTCAGTACTCCTGTGTTACCTATTCAAACAGTTAAGATCTGAAGATAAGAGAAAATATGTTAGTGCTACGTGAACCTAGTCCTATCTGTTAATTTATAACAACTGTATCTGAATTTAAAAATTCTTTGGCTCTAAATTTTACTTTTTACTCAATCCACATTTTTGCTATTATTGCCATGCACAGAACTAACATCATAGGATATCTTTTTAAATATACTAAAGTTGCCAATGCTGTTTTCTGTACAAATGGCCAATCTTATGGGTTTTGTGGTGTTTTCTTTTTTCTTTTTTCCCCTTGAAAAAAAAAGTTTTTCTAATCAATGAGCTAACATCTCAGATCAGCTTCTACAACCTCTCAAATTCTGCCTGAGCACAGAGCTGTTGGTGTCTGTCACACTTCACTGCTCATTAGGGAGATCTGAGGGGTTCTGCAGAACCACAGGCATGGTGGGCACCTTCCATTCCCCCCATCCTGTTTGTAGCCTCCCACCCAAACACTGCTTTGGGAATAGTGAGAAGAAAGAGGGAATGTCCACAGTGCTGTTTTGCAGCCTTAGCTGCAAGTAACCTTGGAGGTTATCACTCTTAAGGCAGTGAGCAGAGTGTGCACTGATGCAGATGTGCACATTGTAGAAAGGTATGGAGGAAGAAAGGGTTATGGAAGCCATAACATCAGCCAGGACATGGGTATGCAAGAGGGGATGTGCACGTGTGCACGTGTGCAAGAGATGCCTTGCTGAAAGCACACAGGGAGGTGTGGTATGGGCACTGTGGGGAGGCACTGAGCAGCACTGGGGGGCTGCATGGAAGAAGGGTGGGCGAGCGGCTGTCCTTCAGCTCTCTGGTGAGACTCCTCTCTGCAGCCCCTGCAGCACCCCTCTGTGGCATTAGGTATTATCTGGAGAGGGAAGGAGCAACAGGAACACGCATTTGGGTTCGTTTAGAGGAAACCCTGAGCTGTAGCTCCTTTGCAAAGGGAATCATTAAGGTTGGAAAAACCACTAAGATCACCTGTCCAGTTGTAAACCCATCCCCAGCATGCCCACTAATCATATCCCCTCGTGCCACATCTCCACATTCCTGAACCCCTCCAGGGACAGTGACCCCACCTCCTCCCTGGGCAGCCTGTTTCAATGCCTCAGCACTTTGAGAAGTTTTTCCTAATGTTTTCCTCTGGCCAGCAGGGTGAGGAAGATGATTGTGCCCCTTTACTGAGCTCTTGTGAAGCCCCATCCGGAGTACTGCATTCAGGTCTGGGGACAGCATAAGAAAGATGCAGAGCTCTTGGAACAGGTCCAGAGGAGGGCCACTACAATTATCAGAGGGCTGGAGCATCTCTCCTATGAGGAAAGGTTGAGGGAACTGGGCTTGTTTAGCTTGGAGAAGAGAAGGCTCCAGGGAGACCTCATTGTGGCCTTCCAGTACTTGAAGAGAAGAATACAGGAGGGAGAACAACTGTTTACAAGTGTGGATAGTGATAGGACAAGGGGGAATGGTTTTAAACTAAGACAGGAGAGATTTAGGTCAGATATTAGGAGGAAGCTTTTCACCTTGAGGGTGGTGACACACTGGAACAGGTTGCCCAAGGAGGCTGTGGATGCCCCATCCCTGAAGGCATTCAAGGCCAGGCTGGATGTGGCTCTGGGCAGCCTGGTCTGCTGGTTGGTGACCCTGCACATAGCAGTGAGGTTGAAACTAGATGATCATTGTGGTCCTTTTCAACCCAGGCCATTCTATGATCCCACGATTCTAAAGGCCAACCTGAACCTCCCCTGGTGCAACTTGAGGTCATTCCCTCTCATCTTCCTCCTGTTATGAGGGAGAAGAGGCTGACTGCAGCTTCACCACAACCTCCTTTCAGGCAGTTGCAGAGCACAATAAGGTCTCCCCTGAACCTCCTCTTTTCCAGACCGAACAATCCCAGTTCCCTCAGCCACTCCCCACCAGACTTGTGCTCCAGATCCCTCACAGCTTTACTGCTCTTCTCTGGACACACTCCAGGGCCTCAATGTCTTTCTTGTGAGGAGCACAAAACTGAACACAGTACTCAATGCGTGACCTCACCAGTGCCCAGTACAAAGGGACGAGCCCCTCCCTGCTCCTGCTGGTTGCACTACTGCCGATACAAGCCCACAGCAGAGGGCTGGAACTAGATAATCTTTGAGGTCTGTTCCAACCCAAACCATTCTATAACCCCTGACATTGGCCTCCTTGGCCACCTGGGCACAGTGCTGGCTCACATTCAGCCTGCTATCCGCTAACAGCGCAGATCCTTTTCCTCCTGGTACAGGCTTTCCCCCAGGCTTCTCAGGCGGCTCCAGGCCAGCAGAAGACAGCCTCTATTTTTCCTTGAAGTCCTGTTTCTGCCACTGGTGCCATACAGTGACCCTGCCCTCGGCTCCCTGTCAGAGCACAAGCATGGGACTGAAGGCACCCACTGAGCCCCGAGCAGTCATCCACAACCCCATCACTGTTCCTTCTGGAAAACTGAGGAGCTTCATCCTGAAGGTAAATATCTTTTCGTCCCCGTATGTCTAGTGGAAGCATTCTTCAAATCCCAAGGTCTCTTATATTTGGGAACCACTCGATTTTTAGCTGAAGCACGCTCCCGGGCAGCCCACACCCCCGCTGCAGACGAACACCCCGCCGCACACGGAGCCCCGGCCACTTTTGCAGACACCGCGTTCCCGGCTCGCCAGCACACACCGGCCCCGGGGGCGGCACGGCGGGAGGGCCGGGCGCCCCGAGGCAACCTGTGGGTGGCGGCGCGCCGGGCGGGCGCAGCCCGCAGGGGGAGGCACGGGACAGCCGCGCGTCGCCAGGAAAGATCGCGTCCCCGCGGCGCGGGCCGGCAGCCGCTCGGCACCCGGGGCCCCGTGGCCGTGCGAGGGGAGGCGGCGGCCCGGCGTGACGTCAGGGGCGGGGCGGTGCCAGGCTGCGGGCGGCGCTCCCGAAGCGGCTCCGCTCCGCGCCCTCACTCCGCGCTGCCGCAGCCCCCCAGCGCCCGCGGCGCCCGGGCGCTCCCTCGCCGCCTCCGCCGCCGCAGGTAAGGGGCTCCCGGGGGCGGTCGCCTCGGCCTGCGGGCTCCGGTCGGCGGCGGGCTCCGTCCCTCCCTCCCCTCCCTCGCCGCCGCCGCGGCAACTAGTTGGGGCGAGCGGTGCGCGGGGTGTCCGCCTCGGCCGCCCCCGCCCCGTCCCGCGGCGCGGCCCCGGCCGCCGGCGTTGGCTCCGTGGCGGGGCGCGGGCCGGGGGCCGCCGCAGCGGTGGCCGGGGCGGGGCGGCGGGCAGGGTGGGCAGCGCTGACGGTCCCGCTCCCTTTGCAGGCTGCTCGGTCGCGTTTAGAGCCAGCGCGAGGCTGAGCCGGCGGCACCGCGGGCATTGCCGGGAGCGAGCCCGGCCCCCACTGAAATTCCGGCGTCTTGAGAGAGGGGAGGAAGATCCTCGTCTTCCGAAGCCTCCTCAATGAGTGCCAAGCTCTCCAAGGAGTTGAGGCTGTCGCTGCCGCCTTGTCTCCTGAACAGGACGTCTGCCACCTCGAACGCCAGCAGCACCTGCATCACGCAAGTGGGTCAGCTCTTTCAGTCTTTCTCCTCCACCCTCGTTCTCATCGTCCTCGTCACCCTCATCTTCTGCCTCATCCTCCTCTCCCTCACCACCTTCCACATCCACAAGAGGAAGATGAAGAAGCGGAAGATGCAGAAGGCGCAGGAGGAGTACGAGCGGGACCACTGCGCCCGCAGCAGCGGCGGCAGCCGGCACCCCGCACCGGGAGAGACCCCCCCGGAGAGAGACAGCCGCCTGGGAAGACCCCCCCGGGACTCGGAGATCCAGCGCCCCCCCCCCACGGCAGCCCCCAGCTCCCAGCCGGCGCAGGCAGCTTTGGACACAGCTGGCGTGGGGCTCTTGCAGACGGTGATTTTGTCATGATGCTTTAGGGGAGCCCGGGAGAAGGCACCTTTGTAAATACCGGAGTGATTATTCTAGTCCTCAAAGAAGAAGAAAACATTGCTAATTCCAATGAACGAACAAGCCCATGATCCAAGCGCATGACAGATCACATCGCGTTTCTCATTGACTGTGCAAGGAAAGGATGCGTCTTTGTGCTGGAGAAGGACCTGCACGCAGCGACCATATACCTAGCCTGGAGGAGAGAGTCAGGGGCAGAGGTCCCTTTTCCCTAGACATTGTTACCTCCAGGGGTGGGGTGATCTCACTACTGGATCCCCCCTGCCCCCAGTGTCACACTGCATGGCGTGGCTGGGGTGTGGAGTGGGGGGAGTGGCAGGTCTGGCGGGTGCCTTGGGACCCCCCTGTCCTCTTGGAGCAGCTATCTGTTGTGCTTGGACCTGTGCCCCTGGCCCACCCTTCTCGCTCCTCTCCAGGACTGGATCTTGTTTTGAGTAACACCCACCCCCCCGTTGGGTTTGGGTGAACTGCAGTGCCCTGCGGCCCCATCCTCCAGCTGCAGCTTTCCTCTCCCCCCCAGCATCCATCATCTCTAAATGCCCTCCCCAAGGCACAACCCCCAAAACCATTGCCATTCTGCGTGGTGGTATGAGGTGATACACCTCAGGGGGAAGATGGCCTTGTTCCTCCTGGGGGTCCCAAAACAAACCCTGTTCTGCACCAGGCACCCTGCTCCAAACACGCTGCAGTTAAAGCTTCACCTCCCAGCAAGGAATCCTGCAGCAGAACGGGGCCAGCTTCTACTTTTTTAGGCTGATATATATTTTTATCCCTTCTAATCTAGTAAGCAGTTAAGGACAGACAACACTTTAAATTTCTCACCTCTCCTCTTTTGGGGAACTAACCAGGCAGTTGTGCAAAATATCAGCTCTTAATGCCCAGCAGATATTTATTTCGGAAGTGTGGTTTCTCCCTAGCAAACAGCAGTGGCTTTTGTCAGTGGTGGGCAGGTGCAGTGCTGCTGGTGCTGTGCATGCTGGAGGAGCGCGGGGCAGAGTCCGGTGCAGCTTTGCTTAGCAATTAAATCATAGCCCATTCCTTGAAGGTGCCTTAACAGAGTGCCGTATCCGAACTTTGAAACATCTTGTGTGGTATCATAGCAGAGGCAGCCCTCTGCTGTGCATATTAACATCTGAAAAATACAGCAAAGGAAAAGTAATCCCGAGGGATTTTCTAAATTTTTTTTTTCTCCCCCTGTATCCTGGCATTCGGAGTGATGTGATGAGGTAGCTGTAGCCCACAGGTTGTAACATTCTGCTGTTCTCTGCCCCCTGGTGTGGCTGCTGGGTTGGAGAACCCTTGTGCAGGCAGCACAAAGGTGAAAAGAGGAAAGGGTGCCACAGTGCTCCATAGTCCATGGACAGCACCAATATGCAGGGGTTTCAAGGCAGTGCTTCTCTTAACCCTGTCTTACCCCTTTGTGATCTTGCCTGGTGGAAAATTCCTGTTGGGTTTCAGTGCGTGCCTCCAGCACCCAGGTGGGTGCAGTAGCATCCAGCTCCAGGAGCTGCTCTACCAGCTGAGGTTGGTACGGAAATGAACTTGGTGTTGGTGGTGTGGTGTGGTGGGAATGATGGCCGATGCTCCCTGGTGTGACCAGATGCTAATGGCTACTGCTGTGTTGTTGGGCAAGGAAATGGGCTTTGTTTTGTTTCCCCTAATAAAGGATGCATGAACTTTTGTGTTTAACCTCCTTATGCAACCGCAACACAGTATTGCACCACAGGGAATAGATTTAGGACAGTGAGGAGTGTTCAGTGAACAGTAATGGAGCTTCCTGATCGTGATCTCCACTAAATAGAGAGATATTATTTTCCCCTTTATTTTGTGCCTTTTCTTAAAAATCAGTATATAATTTTGAGTTTTATAAAAGCAATAAGATGTTCCAAATCACTCCAGTGCATTTCTGGTTGATGGTTTTACTTCTTTAGCGTCTCTAGTCAGACACTCTTCCTTCTGCCTTATGCACTCAAGGCATGCAATAATTCCCCAGAAGTGTACTGCTTGTCACATCTCATTGCAGTTATAAAATTGCCCTATTTTTGAGGAAAAAAAAAAGGATGGAAATATATATATCTTTATACATATTATGGATATATAGATATATATATTATTTATATAATCTCATGACACTAAGAATAGTTGCAGAAATGTAATGAATTAAAATGTTATCATGTAAACCTCTATCCTCTGTTAATTAGGTTTGATTTAATATTTTAATATCTCTGTATTTATGTAAATCTGTGTAAATGATGTGGTCTGTAAGTAAAATTTCATACTGAATTTAATTTTTTCAGAACTGTGAGCTTCTTGTGGTGTCATTCAAGGTTTTGCATTTCTAAAGTTAAATTCTACAGGATGTGAGAAGTTATGAATTCCTGTTATCACACAGAAATGCTGCAATAAGGCTCATGTGTACTCCCAGTGCATGACCCTACCTTGAAGTATTGCAAGCTTGTGAGGTTTCATTGAGCGGTCTCAGGAGATCTAGATGATACAAGCAGGGCACGTAGGTTTTCATTTTCATGAAACAATAAGCGATCTAGGGAATAAATGTGGATTTTTAAAACAGAGTTTATGCTTGGAGGTTCTGTCAAATCAATTGCTTCAAAGCCCTACAGCTACAGCTAAATTCCTGCACTTAGCATTCAGTATTAATAAGGCTGATGCTTCTTCCCTTTCCCCTCCTACTTAAACTAGAAAAGTGTAGGAAATTGTTCATATTTCTAAAGCATACATTTTCAGCTAACTGTGAAACTGCCCAAAGGGTTTTGAATCTACATATTTTATGCAAGTGTAATATCTATGTATCTGTATCCATATATTTAACTATTTTTGTGTAACCTTTTCTACGATATTTGATAGAGATGCCGGGTATGTACCATTCTCGTACGTAAGGAAGGATTTATACCCTGTCAATATGGACATTCTTTTTCCTGTGAACTGTTAGAAATTTGCACTGTTTTTTTGGCAAGTTAGGATGGAGCCTGGACAGCTGGAGAACAGACCGTCCTTCCTCTGGTGAGGTCCACATCCTCTGCCTGGATTTTCCCTCTTCAAAATCAGAATCAGGGCCTGCCGCCGACAGCATCTTGCTATAAGAAGGAGTGCTGTGGTGCTCACCGCCCGGCCCAGTCATCCTGCTGAAGGAGCACGACTGCCGTTACTGGGTGCGTAGGGCTGCTCAGAAGCTGGGTCCCAATGAGCCAATGGTTCCTCATCCTGCGGAACGTCCCTGGAGCTGCTGCTTATCTCAGCTCCAGCTGAGAGCATCCACCACCTGCAAAGGGAGCTGGAACCTGCCCATCGTCCACACAACGGGTGGCGGCATCCCGCAGCCCTGCTCTGTGCCCAGCACTGTGGGAATGGGACTGTTGTGTATGAGAGCCGGGATCCAGAGCTGTGGTCAGCTCTGCTTTGACAGACTGATGTGTGTGTGTGGATCCAGTGTATGTCGTGGGCAGGGAGAGTCATTTCATTCACATGTATCGCTCCAGCATTTCTGCTGCGGGGGGGCTGTCTGCTGCAAAAGTAATCTCTGAGATGAGATTTGCCAGCTCACCACCCAGACACGTTTTAGCTTTTGATAACTCTCTCCCAGACATGTATCTGTGTATACGTGGATATATATCTCAAAAGATCTGCTAGACAAAAAGCAAAGAACAGAGATTTCACCTTATAGGCCAAATTGTCCTTTGACTAAATTTTTTTTTTTAATTTTTATTATTTTTTCCCTTCAGTTTTCTATTAATTTTAAAAGCTACACTCTTCAATGTAAATAGCAAGTTATTACGTGAGTAATGTTTTCCACAGCATTTCTGAGTAGTTGCTATCTTGTTTTTGGAACTCTATGCCCAGTGTTTTGAAGCAACTGTGTTTTTCTTGTTCTGTTGTTATGAGTGCAACTTTTATGTAGGAAGGAAAAAGAACATGATCTAAATCCTTAGGACAGGACTGGATTATTGCAAATCTAGTTATGGATCTTGGTTGCTCTTTTCTTTCTAGTAGCCATTTTCTCTGCACGTTTGTATTTTTTCTATGGGTAGTTGAAACCCTACATTTTAATAAGTACGCAAGGTACAGAGGGTAACATGAAAAATGAAATAGGAAAATTTCTTTTTCCTCTTTTGTGTAAATAGCAAAATTTATAATGACTTAGATACCGTTTCGTTACAGTTCTCATCTACATAGAAGGTGGCATGACTCATATACAAACCTTTAATAGCGTTTTACTTTTTGTTAAGAATTAGAACTACTTTTACCCAGGACTGACTTTCTCATCTCTTTCTGGTATCTGACTCTTTTTTTCACTGAGGCCAAATTTTCCATCTGATCACTAAATAAATTCCTAGTAGAACAGAGCATCTTTCTGTTTTCAGTCTTTTACATGTAGTTCTCTGGTCCGTATCCAGCCAAATTCCACAGCACAGCAAATGTGCTATGAACTTGTGAAGACTGGAAGGTGTAGGAGCCCTGTGGGGAGAGCTGGCTGTCCGGTGAGCACACCGGTGCAGTTCTGCCAAGGCGGAAGGGAAGCCTCCCCATCCACTGCCTGACTGGGTGAAGGGGGATTCCTTGCAGCCCCAGCAGACAAATATCAGCCTCCTTCACGACACTGTTTCTCCAAAACATCATTTTCTATATGACACTGGATCTCATTTTGTAAATTACCTGTAATATTTCTCATTCATGTCAAAGCAGGCTTCATTGTTCCACTGGTACTGTATGTTCTCTGTGGATAACTAGAATCATTTGTTTTCCAGCCCGGTACCTCCACAAGCATCAATTTTGTATGAGTTAGGAAATAAATATTTGGATCAGAACGCTGTCAGTAGAAATTGTCTTTATTTATATTTTCTGATTATCCAGTTGGCTTTTCTTTGTTGTTTTCTTCTTTGAAATGGAGCAATATAATCTGTTCATTATTTTACTTTTCTAAAGAGGACAAAGATTTTTAAGCAAGCACACAGAGAAGAACACACAGAGAAAAATTTCACATTGTAGAGTAGAACAAGATCATACAGGTTTTGTTGGGTTCAATGGTATTCTTTGTTCTCTTCAGACCCCCAACCAAGTGAAATGCTTACCAAAAATCATCTGAAGGAATTCATGTATTAGAGGCAGTTTGCCTTCAGCTTATGATTTTAGCTTTGCAATAAGCACTAACACAAAACCATTGACAAAATACAGGCTAAAACTTTTCAGACATCGAGTAGTCTAAAAACAATAAAGGATCCTAGGGAATTAAGAACTCCATAAATAAGGGGTAAGTGTACCACATTAGAAGCAGAAACTGTGAGCTCTAACACAGTAAAAGCAATGTGTGCTGGAGGATAAATTCATAATTGTAAGCAAGCACCTTTAAATTTTATTCCTGGCTCTGTCACTCTTTTGTTGTTAGTCCTTCAACTTCCAAACTATTTATGTAGTAACAAATAGATAACTCACCTATTAAATAAAGACCAGCAATTTGCAAATATGCAGCCCTGATATGAATCAAATAAGCCTCACATGCACCAAGAAAGTGCTGATCCCATAATACCAATTAAGAGAGTCTTTATGCTGATCACCTGGCTCGGATGACTCAAGTGCTTACATTTGGCAGCCAGGTCCAAGTGGCACACGGCACAGCTGGGAGATGGATGGCTGGGCAAGGTGCTTCAACAGCCTCGCCGAGAGGCTCAATAGAATTTTTTTAAGTGGAAGTGGAATGCGTATTATGAAGGAGAGCCAAGAAGACTTATGCTTATTTCACCATTTCATCACTCACAGCACTTGTCTCATAACAGTCCTGCGTGGCTTTGAGCAGAGTGCTGACTAAGGTATTAAGGATATAGAAGTAGAAAGTTCTTGGGAATAATCCCACCACTAATGAAGCTGATGGCAAAACCTTCTCAAGTTCAGTGGGGTCCAAGATTACACAGATCTCACCTGCTGCTGGCTGTCCATCCCTTGCCAGTGCAATCGGACTGCTGACTGCTACCCTCAGTACTTCTGGAGCGTGTGGATTTCTCCCGTGGTTTGGCTCATGGGCTGTACCCAGCTCCAGTAGGGGGCAGCAGGGAACAACCTGGGTGTTACCTGTAGATGACATATTCGTGCTTACCTTTCTTTAGTTTTCTTTACGGCCTGCAATTCACTCTGAATCTGACTTTCCACTAGACAGCTAGTCTTGTGAGTCTTTCCTTAGGATGAGCTATGTTTGCTGGGCTTGCTTCTTCCTTACCTCATCCTCTCTTTGACAATGCAAGATTTCTCTAAATGATCATTTCCTTTGATTTCTACAAAGATTCTGTAAGACTTTTCCCTCCTTTTGATCCAGCATTATCATACCTTTATGCATATCTCTGCTACTAAGCTTTTGAGAAAGTGCTGGGCTTCAAACACCTGAGAAATCCTGTCATGTGTCCCGACAGCCCACTGCCTCTGGAGAAACATCACATTTCTGATTAAACTGCCAGTCCTAGACTAAAAGCTGAAACTGCTGAAAAATCGTCATTCTTTCATAACAAGAATCTGTAAGGAAATACTGTAAGGAAAAGTAGCTGTTTCTAACAGGGGAGAGTACATAGACAACAGGATATGGTGATAGTATGCGTATTAAAGTTTTTGTAAAGCCTGCAGGACAGACAAGGTCATCTTAATTTCTAATAAGGGCCAGCCTCCTGATCCGTATTTTCTTCTTCTAAAACAGTTCATCACAATCCATTCTTTTACCTCTAAATATTTGTGGAGCTACTAGACATATACTTTTACATGTTAGACATATACATTTACCTTGCATCACAGTTGGGGGGGGCCTTCTTATCTATAATACCAACTGATCTGTTTTAAGTCTATTTGTTTTCATTATAGAAATTCAGTTTCTACTAAATCATCTGGTAGACCTCAGCAAAGGAAAGCCTTCACTTCCAGAACATGTGCTGAAGCTTGCTCAGTCTGGCACTGATGATGCGTAAATCAGGACAAGTGTCCAGCTGATCACGTACAGTCACTTTGCAAAATTCAATGAACAACTTTTGATTGCTTTTGAGCAAACAACAAGAAACATTCAAAGTCTGAGACAACCTTGTCTTTTTACCTATTGACAACAATGCTAATTCAACACCTCTCTGCTCTACCACTTGAGTTATCGTGGATTAATGTACTTCTAAAATGGAGCTGAATATACAGGCCATTACCTATGTGACAGAACTGCTCTAAAATCAGTTCCTCCAGGGCTACAGGGGCTATGATGAACCTAGCAGGGGAGTGGAGGAGGCAGCTGAGATATGACAGACTGGGCTTAGTAATACTGTCTGCACAGGGCTGTAGCCATGAGACAAAGGGGCTGTGTCAAAGTAAGATTCCTTAGGCAGGTGCACTCACAAGTGAAAAAAACAGAACAGTGCAGAACAGCTCTTTTGCTATCAGATCTGGGTGTGATGTCTTTTATTGAGAAAAACCTCAAATACTACAGCTTATAGAGAAACCCTCGAGACTGCTATGCTCCAATTACGGCCTTTTCTGTTTCTTTTCAGAATGTGCTTTCAAACATTCTAGAAAAACAAGAATCTCAGATTCTGTCTGAAAAAGTAAGCAATATCACACCATAAGCCATGTTAGAAAGGTACCAGGCTGACAAATCTGGATTTGTTCACAGCCTGAGCATTTCACCATCAGTGCTACCACTGCTGCAGTGAGGGGCCCTGAGGAGGAAGGGACCTCCTTGGGAGTGCAGGCCTCACCCCAGCTGCACCCGCACTGCGGGAGGTTCCCATTTGCTTTCCGGCCAGCATCTCTACCCTGTGCTACCTGAATTCAGTGTTAGGCCTTCACTGACTTATTTCACCTGGACTGAAACAAGTTATGGCACAATTGTGCGAATGGGCAGTGAATGAGTTAGTAAACCACAAGGCAGTGTGGAGCACTAGGGCAGCATCTGTCAACAAGGGAAAGGATGCAGGGGTGCTGAGCCCTTCAAGACTATTTTGGGAAAGAGAGCTTATGAGTCTTAGCCTAAGTGCTGCTTAATATCCTTCTCTTGGGTGTCTGGGATTAAAATACAGACAGATCATTTGGGGCTGCAGAGCTTCAGCTCTTGAATAGTGCCATGTTCACCACTGCAATACTCACAGCCTGCTCATACCCATGGTGTCTGGCTGCACTCCCCTGCTTTCTTCCCTCTAGCCACCGAACGAGTTCCATTGTGTCCAGTCACACAGTGTCTGCGGCTGACCTGGTGTCTTATTCACTGACCTGGTTTCTTACACACAGAACAGACAGAGCTCCATGGGTGATGGTGGAGTGATCTGTGCCAACCAGGTCCCAGCTGTTCCTGCCTCTCTCCCAGTGCAGATATCATTGTGGGTTCACCTCCTCCAGGGAAATCGCTTTAGCAGGCATTGGACTACATGATCTCCAGAGGTCTCTTCTGACCCCTATGCTTCTGTAATTCTATAACTGCCAGACTGGCCACCCACAGGCCTTATAAGGTCTCCATACCTTCCAGTCCTCTGCTGTTCTTTCAGAAATAGTTGAAATTAACCAATGAATGCAGAAATGTCTGGAGGAGGACAACTGACAGGCAGTTGGGCAGCGAATGTGATGGCACAATAATGCAGTCATTACTGAAATAAGCTATTTTTCACATCTCGTGAATTGTAAGTAAATTTAAAGACTTTTCTGGTGCCTGATTCATAGTTTTGAAATGTTTAGATTTGGCAATGCTGCTCAACAATATCTTTGTAGCCCATCTGTGCTGTTTATCTGCTCTCTCTTCTACCCCCAGGCATTGTCTGTTTCTTTTTATTTTTCAGATTATAACCCTTTGAAGAAAGAAGTTAGGGGTTTGTTTGATAATTGTGGTGATTCCATTAAGCTTGTTCAGAAGGTGAATCATAGATTCCTAAGACTAGATGGAGGGATATACCTACAGAATGATCTACTGTCTGTCACAAACAGGATTTTAATCCAGTAATTCAGGTCTTGCCTGGCATGACGACTGGCATAGGAACATTCATTTTTCAGAGAGACAGTCACAGCTGATTTTCAGACTAAAAGTGGTGGAGCATCCAGTTCAGACTTTCAGAAGTTGTTCCAATCAGTACAAAAGTAACCTAAAAAATAAAAGAGCTTGTCCCTTCAAGGCAGTAATTTTTGGTATGTGGAATAAAGTTAGCCCATTCAGCAGTTATTAGGACACTGTTAAAAACCGACATCTGGCAAGGAAGGTAAGCCATCTGTGAAAATACAGTTCCTATTACATGCAATAACCCAAACGATCTCCCAGTTGTTATAAATTCACAGCACTGGGAGTGTAAACAAAACTGTGTCCTGGGGGAAAAAATATGCACAAGTGTTACATATGCAACTGTGTACCTACTCTGGAGTTGTCAGCTGAAATAAATGAGATGCTTGTGGTAGCTGTGGAATTTTGTCTCACAAAGTAAACTACGTTTACAGATTTCTTCCTTCTTCTTCATTCATTGTTTCACCTTATTCCAATGATTCTTTAGCAAAAATGTCTTGTGCTGAACATAAAAAATATTTTGCTGTGCCACATCAACACCAGAGCAGGGGGAGAGGTTTTGTTTGGCTTGACACTGCCTTGAGTGAGTGAAGGTCTGAATTGAAATCTTACTGAAATTAATCATGGAGTAGAATCATCAAATTTGGAAAGACCACTAAGATAATCAACCCATGACTGTGACCACTTTAGATGATGTCCTTCAGTGTGACATACACTCTTTTCTTGAACATCTCCAGGAACGGTGATTTTACCACCTTCCTGAGCAGCCTGTTCCAAAGCCTCACCACTTTTTCTGATACCTTTTT